AGTGTAGCCCTGTGATAGACTGGTGACCTGTCCAGGGTGTCCCCTGCCTTCACCCTAAGTCAGCTGGGATAGACTCCAGCCCCCCCCGCGACCCTAATGAGGCTTAAGCGGTGTATAGATAATGGATGGATGATAAGTGTTTCGAGCCCAAGACAAGCAGATCTTCTGCTTTTTGCCTGGTTAGTGTTTACATGCTAGAAAAGCTTATATTGTCTATCAGCTGTGAAGAAAATATTATTCTAAATGTAGTATTATGGGCTGCAAGGTGCCTCGGTGATTAGCACCGTTGCCTTGCAGCAAGAAGGTCGCCGGTTTGCGTCCCAGTGAGGACACCCAGGATCTTTCTGTGTGGAGTTTGCATGTTCTCCCCGTGCAGCATGGCATGTGATATATTTCTAACATATTTGGCTGTAATGACTGTAAATACTCTGATACGCTGGTTTGACTTCAGTAGAAAGTATGGCTTAGATACAACTTTCTGCTTGGGATTGTTAATCAACCCTTTGATTATAAAGCAGGAAACAGGGACTGATCACAATTAACTTTGCAAAGTGCTTTCACTTAAAAAACATATTTTTTGAAGTTTATTCATACATATGAACGTATCAAAGAACAATGAGGTACTGATGAAATGAGTTTGGTTTGTCAGCAAAAGGTTCATAAAATATGCTGACAGGACTAAACAAATTTGCTTTTAAATAAAGTCGTAGGTTCACATTACATTGGTCTTCTTCAATTTATCACTCCTGAGACAGGTTCACCAAAAAGCTAAAGGAGCTATTTAGACTAATGGTTGCAATTTTTAGTTAACTGACCATGAATTTAACCCTTAGGTTTAACGTAAAGCTGATACGGAGACTTCAGCCTTGTGAGTCATGGCTTCAGCACTGATTTCCTGCTTTGAATGTGAGGATAGTTTTATTCTGAAGCTTTTCCAGTAAATGAATGAATGAATGAATGAATGGTTTTATTTCGTACATGTGAGAAAAACAAAAAAGCCACAAGAACGAATCAAAATTTTCAAAACATCAACAAAACAACCATAACAAAACAAAGCTACTTCTAAGAACCCAACATATCCGAAAAGGAGTAAAACGAAGCATAACTTATTTCCTCCTACCCCTTCTCAATCTTGACCATCAGTCACTCAGTACCCCACTCCCATAGTTACTTATGTACTTATTTACAAATGTAACACCCATCCCATGTAGCTAATGTATTAACACTCTCGTTAATGTGGTGGTAGTACTGTGGGCAGGGCCCTGGGTGCTATTACTGCCTAATAAATAAACCTTGGTAAACAGGAGATACAATAGGAAAATGTTCTAGAACTTTTATAGAAATTATGATTTTTACATTCAATTTCAGTATCTCCCTATTGGAGTCCAGTTCAATTTGTAACCTTTTCCTTTTTGTTGCCCAATTATCTTCAGTTCAGTCTTATATCGTTGTAGCCCTGATGCTTCCACTTCCTTCACTGCTTAGAGCTGAGTGCAGAGATATTTCTCACATGTTCCATGTTTGACTACGCCCATCCATCTCTGATTGGATATTACAGGTACATCATCCAACGAAATGACAGAAAATAAAAGACTGACATGAACAAGTTAGGTGAACAGCAAGCTTGTACATTTCCAACAAACTTGCTTCAAATGAACTTTTATTCCAAATATGACAAAACTTTGTGTTGGCTTAAAACATTGTTAACTGTTTATATTAATGAACTAGCCGATACATTTATGCAGATTTGATGATGTTTTTACTCATGTTGCTTATTTATTAATTACATATTTATTCAATTTACTTTATTTATATTGTAGCCAGTGTAGTCTAAAGTGCCATTTTCACATTGGGCTACACAAACAAAAAGAAAATAAATAGCATAAAGTGATATACCTCTATCAAAGCGTATCAAATGTGTTTTATGTGAGACTTTACTTAGGTTTAATGATATTTATTTATGTTGTACCACTTTTTCAGGTTGCACATTTCACCGATATTTCCCAGTAGCTTCTGTAAATTATTCCCTGAACAAAATATTTTTGTGTCATCTGCGAAGAGAATTAGTTTTAATACTTTTGATATTTTGCAAATGCCATTTATATAAAACAAAAACTGTTTGGGACCCAATACTGACCCCTGGGGGATGCCCCAAGTAAACCATGTGATCATAAAACCAAAAGTGAAAGCATTATCCAACAGAATAAAAAGGGATGGTCTTTGCTCAGGTAGCTCAGTTAAAGACCTGGTGGGACATGATGCTTCATCTACAGTGACGGAGAACCAAACAGAATATGGACAGACGTCTTATATAAAGGTGAGTCACTTTTCCTGTTGTTTTGTCAGTGATTTTTAATTAAAATCAGACTCGTGCACAAGCACAAATGACATTATCCATGATCGCCCTGCGAGCACAAATACAGAAATTTAGTCAACTAAAAATCTAATTTTTTGACTGTGGAGGTGGGACAGTGGCAGATATGAGTTGTTTTAATGTTTCTGTTGGTACTTTCATATGGGGCTATTATTGTAGCAAAACTGTTTGTAAATCTGTATGGAGAGTTGTGTGTCTGTATCTCAATCTGTGTTTCTGTCGTGAGATTTGTCAATGTGTAAAGATTTGTAAAAGATTCGTCTTATGTCGTCTAAGTATTTAGGATTTGGCTCACAGGCTCGTTCATTTTGGCTGCGTACCAATCTGCTGCTCTTTACCTCAGTAGTTATGCCGCCTGCAAGCCATCATTAAAGTTTTTACTCAGCGACCCACAATCTCAGCAAATTTATCTTGTTCACACATACCAGACAATGTCGTGTGCCCTCAAAGACTCTGGGGGCATAGCACCACCTGATGGCTTGCAGGCAGCATAACTACTGAGGCAAAGAGCAGCAGAGTGGATGAACGAGCATGTGAACCTAAACTCAGGGCAAAGAATCCCTGACATTAGTGATGTTGATACTACCAATTTCCTTTCTTGTATAATTATGAAGCTATGATTTGAAATACACTACTTGTTTTTTAGATTTACCAGACACAGTAGGTGTATTTGCACAAAGTATCGGTATCAGATTGGTATCGCTGATACCAGCTTGCATTTTGCTCTGTATCGGATTGGAAAGGAAATCGGTGGTATTGAACATCACTACTCCTGTCTACTGTACGCCTCATCATAAATATCTCGTACTCTGTGTTGTGGTTTGACTTGAGGTGTTGCACAAGGTGTGTCGTGTTGCCACAACTTACCATTTTTCAACCAACATCACAAAGTGCGTCTTGGCTGTTCGTGGAGCTGAAGTCACTCCACACATGACTCTGTTTACGCTTTGCCATTGTATCAAAGCTACGAAGCGACAAATCACCGAAAACGATCATATCTGAAAACTCCAGCGAATGATGTCTCATAACCTCTGAGGATGGAGACATGATGGAGAGTTGAAACTGACCAATCAAAGGAGCAGATTTCAGCCACGGTCCGGCCTCCAAAGTCTGAGAAAGAGCAGTGCACATCACAGCCTTGCACTCGCAAGACCCTACTTGTGCATGCGGAGCACAAACGCTCATGGATACTGTTCATGTGTGTGTGCTTGGTTTTCATGTCCAGCTAATTCATATGTCAAACTCAAGGCCGCGGGCCACATCCGACCCGGCGTACAACTATATTCAGCCCGCGACATCATTTTAGACAGATCTATTGTTATTGTTATTAAAGGCCCAGCGATATGAAGTGATGATAACACACAAACTACAGATCCCACAATGCAGTGCAACAGCTGCCTTGCCGAATTGTAGGTTACCCGGGAACGTTCCCGTGTCAGTCAAGTAAAGCGTCTGTTGCTGTATACAACCCCATTTTCAAGGCAAAACTAACCCCTAATCATGGCAAAAAGAAAAGTTGATTCTGAAAACAGCCTTTCAAAACCGATGGGCGGCTGAGTATATATTTATTGACATTAGCGGTAAACCCGTGTGTCTTATTTGTGGAGCTCTTATTTCATCATTATATGTTTTTTTCTTTCCATGATGTCAGGTGAGGCAGAGCCTCCCCTGACTGCACGTCACTGACTAAAACCTAGAAACTTTCAGTGGGGTGCAAGAACCGTTCATGTTGATGTGGGAGAGGAGATGTTTTATAAAGTTGTTGTGAGACGTTTATAGTTCATGTGGAATAAAGGCATCAAGACTTATCTGTCGTTACTTTCAGACAAAAGCTGCCTGAATCATCTGAAACAAGGGTCACAGAGTCTTCACCAATAATGGAGGTAAACAGCTACTTTGTACATGTCCAAAATAATACTGTCCACACTAAATAGTGTGTATGAGACAATTAAATGTTAAGTGTTTTTCTCATTTATCAAAAGGGACTCAATGGTGAAGATTCAACAAGTGGACTTTGCTGTGAGGAAGCAGAGGTCCCTCCATCAGCACCATGTTCTGCCTGCAATGATGACCGTCAACAGACTGACACAGGTGATAAAGGTCCATTTTATGTAGTTCATTGTTTCAGCAGAAAAGCACAATTGGACGTATAGTCTGTAGTGGCTCTAAATACAATCATTATTATCAACATGATCATTATTATTTCCACAGCCTCTTGCCCTCATGTGGAGACCACAGTGTACAATATCAGCGGTGATTTAGTGTCTCAGCATTTGGACACTCCTACTGATGAAGAGGAGGAATACGTCGTGATCACTATCGTGAAAGAGGCAACGGACACAAGCAGCTCAGCGCTCATCAATGTGGGACCAGAGGGACACAACTCCTTCCAGACCCCTGAAGAAATGCAGGATGAGATCATGGACGCGTGTGTTGAGTTAACTGCACACACAAGTAAGAAAATATTTCTGGGGGGGCTGACATGTAAATCACTCTGACCAATTCTACACCAAATCCCCAATAACAACAGCTGAACATGGCTGCAGAGTAGATCAAGCAACACAAAGCAGTTATAAAGCCAAGCATTTTTCTGCAAAATAACTTCAAAGAAATTACACAATTATATCAATACGACTCAAAAAATTGGTTGCAAGAAAGCTAAAAACTAGTGGAAATGTTCATTTGTGCAAACAAAGGATTATTTGATTGAGTAAAAAAAAAATCTATTTGTTTAATATAAGTCATTCAGCAACAAAAGCTTCATTGCAAGTAGTTTTGGGGGGTTTATATATAATATTTGTCATATTATATTACAATACACATACAAAGAATTACAAAAATCTGCAACTTAGTTTTCAAAAAGTCATAAGTAAGAAAGTATTTGGAGTAGAGCTTTAAGGTTTTGCAAAGTTCTGTGAACTTTATCGAAATTTTCATGTGATTTTTTTTCCAAGAAAAGTTAAGGACCCATTACATACATAGTGCCGTTAAAAAATACTCATCTACATTTGAAGTTTTCTCTTTTATTAGAAAAAAGAAAGACTCTTTCATGTCAAAGCGAAAACTGATTTGTACAAAATAATTTCAACTGTTGATGTAAAACATTTTAAAATATAACATAAGTTCTTGCTTAAGGATTCACCGCCTTCAAGTCAGTATTTAGTAGATGTACCTTTGGCCACAATAACAGCATTGAGCTTATATGGAAAGGTGTGACTCAGCTGTGCACATCTGGACACTGCAATTTTACCCCATTCTTCTTTGCAAAACCACACAAGCTCTGTCAGGTTTCACAGGGATGGAGAGTGAACACACCTTTTCAAGACCAGCAGCAAATTCTCATTTGCATTGAGGCTCTGATTCTGTCACTCCAGAACATTCACCTTGTTGTCTTTAAACCATTTTTAGGGAGCTTTGGCTTTATGCTTTGGGTTATTATCTTACTGGAAAACAAGTCAGTGTTCTCTTGCAGATTGAAACAGGCTGTCCACTAGGATTTCACTTTACTTTGCTGCATTCATGGTGCCCTCGACCTTTAAAAGCATCCAAGGCCAGCTGCTAGAAAACCTTACATCATGATGCTGCCACCACCATGCTTCACTGCAGGAATAGTGTGTTTATGATGATGTGCAGTGTTTGGTGTCCATCAAACACAGCATCTAGTGTGATGGACGAAAAGCTAACCTTTGGCCTCATTCCTCTAAAGAACCTTCTTCCAGTTGACTACAGACTACAGCTGACTACACCTGACTCCAGTAGTAGTGTAAATCAGTTTTCACTTTGACATGAAAGAGTCTTTTTTACAGTTTCTTGTCAAACAGCCAAATGAAATTGACAATGACTCAATGTTGGGAAACAATAAAGGGCTAAAACTCTGAAGTTCAGTAAATACTTTTTGTAGACACTGCATTTCAATGTTACACAAGACCTATTTGATTTATCTTATGACAGACATGAGTCATCTCCTCCCATCTCCACACTTTGATGGAAGACCAAATTCAACTTATATACTTCACTAAGCGAAAAAAAAAACAAACCCAACTGCTACAGAGCAAAACATTACCAAAAGTTAATTGTAATGTAATTTACTACTACAAACCAGTAGGTTGTTAAAACCCATTTGTTGGATAATAGCAGGTGGTGTGGTTGACTTAAAGAAATAAAGACTGACCCCCAAATACAGATGAATAGAATTACAGAATATTTCCAAGAAATGTACTTGGAATGTATTGGAGAGTTCAAACTGTCACAATGGTCACATTTGACTGTGACAGGTAATTTAGGATCCATGTTTTAAAAAAATAAAATGATTGCTACTGGTTTGAAATAACACACATCTTTATACCCACAGAGACACATCTGGAGAGCCTATTGCAAGATCTGGGGTTGGAGCAGCGCTACAAAGAAAAACTATCACTCAGCAACATACTTGAGATCGATGAGAAGACTATTACTGGTGAACCTGCCAAGAGTAAATCAGACCTTCCATGGCATTTTCTCAAACAACTTATGATGGTTAATGTGACAGCTAGGAATGTAAAATGTACATCTGTACAAGACTCAAATTGTAATGCTGCATCAGGGAGTAAGAAGCTAAATCTGAAAAATCTGGTCATCAGCCCAAATTCAGCTGACATGGTAAACCCGCTCGACATAATCACTGCTCTCTTTCTGTGTTCTGATGGTTTTGTGCAGCAGGAAATGGCACTAAAAATGTCTATGTGTCAGTTCTCTGTGCCTCTGCTGCTTCCCAACTGTGACACAAAACAGTGCATGCTCATGCTGTGGGCCATGAGAGACATTGTTAAAAAGTACAGACCTCAGTCACTTTCAGAATCTAAGGGCTTCACTGAAGAAAGGATCGTTCTCTCTGAAATTCCAATGATCTCTTTTGTGAGATTAGGTGAGTGCTCCTTATCCAAATCAGAAATCCTCAATAAGATTCTGAGCAATTCTCAGCAGTACCATGATACCTTTGTTCACCATGACATGGAGTGTGGTGACAGTCCAAGAAGAATCTCTAATGGATTGACTGAAATTACTTGGTACCTTCCCTGTGGAAGCAAAACCTTGGATGTTTTCAGTCAACCAGTTGCTGTAGCTAACCTTCGTGGTGACATTGCTTCATTTGAAACACAATTCTCCTTTTTGTGTCAGACATCAGCAGCGGTTTTCGTGTTCTTTGACAACTTGGACTCTGAGTGCAGTCTACTTACCAACAAGAACCACAAGGCACAGATCTTCTTGGTGGGGAACCATCAGAGTAAGAGTTTCAGTTTAGATGCTTTAGGAAAAGTAGCAACCAGGTTGGGCTTGACTAACAACAACATTATTTTGAAGACGAAGAACACGAATGATGCAGACTTTGTCAGGAGCTTGAGGAAATCAGTCAGCGATGTAGTTGAGAATTCAAAGATGAAGATGCCAATAGTGCAGATGGCTGACATTGCCCATGAGCTGGGAATCTTGGTTGATGAAGACTCTCCAGAGTGCCAGGCTGGAAAACAAAAAGCAGATGCCATCACTGACAAAATTCAAGATATCCTTAGATACAAAGAAGACCAGCTTCCCTTGCAAGGCCAAATATGGAAGGACTTAACAAGCTTAGAGAAGGAAGAATTCCGGCTTCGGAAAGCTGGGTCTGAAAACATAGAAATCTACAAAAGTGATCTTCAGGTACAGAAAGGAGAACTGCGAAAACGACAGAACTCCTATGAAATGTCACCAGCTATGACATGCTTCATCGCCGCAGTATCAAGCCCAGGGATAGAAAGGTGTTATTTCCTGAAATGGATGAGAATGAACCTCGATAACGTGTCTCGTCTGAAACTGTCTGGACTCAGGGAGCAGTATAAAGAAAAATGCAAGAATTCTGACAACAAAGCAGAGATCAAAGAAATTGACAGACAACTTTCCAACAGCTCACTGGGAACTGAACACTTCCTCCGTGAAATGGGTCAGATCTATGAAGCTTCAGTTTCCCTTCCTGAGACAGACCCCAGACGTCAACAATTACAGCACCTGCCCAAACTCTGTGCAAAACTGTTGCTAGATGGATTTCCTCTTGAACTTGTGGATGGAGAT